TTGAGGCGTCCTCCGAAAGGAGATTCCACGGGATTACCTGTTGAAGCTCCGTGTTTTTTTTTTTTTTGTGTGGTTTTAAGGGCTGGCTGAATTGGAGACTTGGAGCAGGCTCAAATATGGTAGACGGGTGTGTTCGGGTGTGAGATGCTCCCTAAGAAAGAAGAATACCACAACTATGGTTTTATGTTTGCGGGCGACAGCTGAGATGGTGAGGGTGTGCCCCTTAGTACTCCAAGCTTGGTCACACATTATATATATATATGTACATATTACATATTCCTTGAGGGCTTGAAGCTGGTGATTTTTCAGGATAGTGACCTGTATTTGACCTCGGGCAAAAAACTAGGTACCCGTCTGGCTGGTTCTCTTCAGGTCTGCTTTTCCCAAACTATCGAAATCCCCCCTTCTGCAAACTCAGACGGCTTGCTGCAGAGTAAGCCTTCAAAAGGACTGGTTTAAAAGAAAGCGCATGCCCCTTTCCCCTTTGGGGAGTGGTTGTCACTGGGGATGAGATGAGGATAATCATGCCCCCTGCATCTGACCCCCCCCCATCAAGAAGCCCTTTCGTGCGTTCTATGGGAGGCTCGCTAGTTGATCAGCCAGGGGGTCCATTGAGCTCAGGATGGTTTCACGGTTCCCGGCCGTCAGCCCTCCCGGCAAAGCTGCCAAGCTGCCATCAGGTCTGAAGACTTCTGGGTGCGTTGCATACGGCCTGCTGGAAATGGCCATGGGTCAAAACCCCGTACCCCCAGTGAACATCCCAATCCCCACTAAAATAGGTTCTAAAATGGGTGGTGCACCTACCAAAATGGTACCATTGGGTTTGACCCACAGCCAAATCTGAAACGAGAATCGGTGCTTAGTTCGTTCGGTTGGAGCTTGAGGAGCAAAGCGCAGCGTTCCTGCAGGCGATCTCCATGGGTTCCGGTCACAGGAAACGTAAACTGCTCAAAGGGGTGTCACACGGCCACGGGATGCCCGAAGAAGATTTCACAAAAGCACTGGACCTTACCGCAAAAGAGTCACTTGAATTGAGTGTTTATCAGGCCTCTTCACGGTTCATTTCTTCGGGGGAACTCGTACCTTATGTCAAGCTAACCATTACTCGAGAAAAAGTGCGTGTCAGGCAGCCTGTGATAAACCTTAACCTTACTTGAGACTATTGAATTAACCGTCCTTGAGGTAAGCCTCATGTTTGGCCAAGACCCCAGGTTCACCTTTCATGTCCAGGTCCTTCGGGCAGGT